TATTGCGTGCTCTCAACTTAGTGTTCTAGATGCTCTTCCACAGTTATAAATTGAGAGCTTTCGACGCCTGTACCATTTTTGCATCATTGGTATAATTGTGTGGCAAGTCCAATCATACTTCTATAGCCAGGGAAGTCGAGAAATTTCCTAACCCGAAAATTTCCTAGACCGGACTGAACCCAGCCACCTCAGGCATGGTCTTACTTTGTAGCTGCGCCTTTACCGACTGAGCTAAGGGAAGTCTAACTTGACCTTACCGAAAATGGTTAAAAATTGTTTATAATCCCTGCTAAACTTTAATTGAAATGGTTATGGAACTTTTCAAGAACGTTTGTGTGATAAAGTTTTAACCTTATGTATTATGGTATTTTGGAAGTGAACCTTACAAATAATGGGTTGCTTAGAACCATTACCATTCATAATTCTTGTTTTCTCCATACATTTTCGGAAAGAAAACTATATTCGAACCTTTTTACTTATGGTTTGAGAACTTTAATGTCAATGGTTATGGTAGTCAGTAAGGTCCATCGATGGTTTTGTAACATCGATCAACTTTATGTGGAATATATCACGTATGGGTTGCCTGTAAATTAATAATTATCAATTCTCGATATATTCCATGTAAAGTTGACCAATAATACATAACCATCGATGGACCTTACTGACTACCATAACCATTACCATTAAATTCTCAAACCATAAGTAAAAAGGTTCTAATATAGTTTTCTTTCCGAAAATGTATGGAAAAAACAAGAATTTTGAATGGTAATGGTTCTTAACAACCCATTATTTGTAAGGTTCACTTCCAAAAAACCATAATACATAAGGTTAAAACTTTATCACACAAATGTTCGCGTAAAGTTCCATAACCATTTCAGTTAAAGTTTAGCAGGGATTATAAACAATTTTCAACCATTTTCGGTAAGGTCAAGATATGGTTCACGTTTATGCGGGAATGCTACTGACGCCAGGGAGGCCGACCATTCCCACACCTGGACCCTACCTATCGATCCATCAACTTATGGACCGGGAACCAACGGTGGCGTCGCTCTAACCTCAATATACCTGTTCAACGACTCTCAAAACGTAAACAAACTAAACAATATTGATTCTAATGGATACCCTAATAAAATTTATATGGTTATTTAGCTTAACGACATGTTCGGGGTATCATCCAAACCATTTGTGGAATAGTTTTACCATTTAGGTTGTCGTTCATTTATGGTATTTGTTTATTAGGGTAAAAATCAGTGAAAATAGATGACCCTGTACCCTTTGAAACTGATTTGAATGTAAACATGACCCTAAATAACGTTTTCAAAGTTGTTGAACAGGTACGCGACACCACTGGCGTGATCAGAGATTTTATGCCTCAGGAAATCCCAACGGCGTTGACTGGGATTCAACCCTGGCCCTTTGGAGTGAGAGGCAATCACGCTTACCACTACACCACCGGTGCCGCTAGTTGAAGGCTACTTGTCTGTCATAGTTCTGCAACATAAACATTTTTGATGTCAGTTACCGTTTCTAATTTCAAAAATGGAATCCTAATTTTACGATTTATTTAATAACCACCAAATTTCAAAAAAAAATATTAATGAATAGCTAATTTTGGAGTTAAATTTTCAAACCATTTATTTTGTTATTAATATATTGAATGGAGCAGCAAAAATAATCTCGTAGTTTTACGTCAACAATGCAGTCGTGCTTTGGACACAACACATAACTTTTTTTTGTTAAAGAAAATTCATTCCCGCCAATTGAGGTATTGGAATAGGAGGAGTAATAATCTTACTCAGGTTTTGTACGTAAAAAATGACCCTGGTAAAAGATGCTTATTTACACTAAAACAACAAACTCTTCAATTCTTAGTGAAACATTCCGATGCTCACCCAAAAAAAAATTATGGATTACGGACCAACAAAACCTTCAAGATTTTGGGATTACTGAAAATTACTTGAATAGACATTCATTTTTTTAAGAAATAAAAAGAAAACTTAGACTAAGAGTTTCAAGATGTTAGTTTTTATGATTTCATCTAGAGTTCAGATTTTCAAGAGATTAAGATTCCAGATATTCAAGCTTCCTTCAGGACTTTAAAGTAATTTTCAGGATTCGGGATCTGAATTAATAAATTATCCAGAGAATTTAAATTCTCTAGTGATAATTTCAAAATAATTCTGCGGTGAATTCCAAGAGAGTATCGAGGTAAATTCTGATGTGACTTCCTAGAAAGTACTAGTCAAAATTCAAAGTAAGGAGACGAGGCTCGGTAGCTCAGTGGTTACCGTTTCTGCTTACTGAGCAGAAGTTCGGGAGTTCAATCCCAGGCCCGTCCCCTTTCTTGCAATTTTTCACTTTGCCTTATTCTATACCCACTAGATTTTAATGAAAACAAATTCTTCTTTAACACCGATCGCATCACTTACCACAGTGTGGGTCCTGATCTAAAAATAGAAATTGGATGAGTGCGCGCGCGCGTGTGTGTGTGTGTGTGTTTGTGTATTATAATCGCTCTACCAAAAACGATCCCTGCGTGTGCGTGTGCAACCTTTCCTCACATCCAACATCCCAGTGATTTCTCGTGGAAGCGCAGAGGATTTCTCGGTTTCCTTCACAGCGAGTACCACGTCAACACATTCCTTCCCATTCCCTAGTTGACCTGCATTCGGACACGGCCGGCGCTGGTATTGCTAAATATTAGATCTCCAGCTCTTACACATTGAGGATGAATGTTAGTCCCAAACATCATCTGTTGGTTCTCTGTGTAATTGCAGCTGATCTGGTAATAACAGAGCAGCAACCGTGGGCGGTCAATCATGCTCATGCTCATGCTCAGTACTAGTCAAAATTCAAAGTAAATTAACAGAAAGTTCTAGGCTATTTCCAATTGAAATCTTTAATGTGATACAGAGGAATATTTCATGGGAACTTGGAGACGAATTCCATGGGTGTTCAGAAAAGATTTGCAAGAAAATATTGTGAAATGTCTATGTCTTTCTAAACTAATGCAATTTTTCCATGAACATTTGAAACTTTCTAGAAGAAGAATATCTCTTCACATGTAAAATCAACGTTTTCGTGGTGTTCTTAGATTTTTGAATACAATTTGTTGAACATTATTAATCACGAAATGTTTTAAGTTTGAACCGTGAAAACCGCAAAATGCAAATTTAGTGACCACCCCTTCCTCAATTTTACGGTTATTGCGTCGAATTTGGTGCAGGGTTGCTGAGGAACACACCGTTTTCCATTCCGTTACACTCATGCACACACATTTTCCGATCTTCTTACGTAGAAAATGAGTAAAACGTAAACCAATCATAACTCAAATCAACATTTGAACTTTTGCATGAATGGCAGCTCCACAAAATTGATGCTGTTTCAAAATATTGCTAATGCAATCGCGCACTACCGGGCCCATTCATCGCAATGTTGAGTGAGTAATGTGCAATGCTTTTCCGAACCTCTTTACAGTCAATTGCCATATATCGGACGGGGTATTACGTAATAAATCTTTTCGCGACGACTGGCCATCATCGGCTATCTACACCGTGCAGGTTCAAGTGCTTTATTTATTATTTACGGTCTCGCGTACCCTACCCGGTGTTAGTTACATATCGTAGACGTATGGCAATTGATTAACAGTTTTCTTCTCTAGCATTTTCTCACCACTCAACAGTCATGATTTTAAAAGTGCCGGATAAGGGCATCTGCTGACTGAATACATTAACTGCCACCGCTCAAATTATCAAATAGAATCGCGTCTCGTTCACATCTATGACACAAACGTCATTCCCATATACTTTGTGTGAAGCCGAAAAATCCTGGTTCTCTGGTTCGATTTTACGTCAACATTTGACAGCTGCTGCAAATATTCGCAAGCAAGCTCTGTTCATGCGTGATACGTTGTTAGGAAAGTTTGTCGCGAGCAGGGGGGAAGATTTTTTTATCTCTTTGTTGTGCCATAGGCGCTGTTTACTGTGTTTAACAAGAATTATCGTTGCCTAAAAAAGAAGTGCATTATAATTGGATGTGATAGCAGCATTACTACATTAGTAAAAACTTTTAAAGCGATATAACCATGCGGTACACATGAATGTAGCTTAAAAACGTGTTATCAACACTAACACCACCACCATCGGTGGCAGCTTCAGCGAGTACTAGTCTTGCCAGGGATGGTCTCGTTTGGCAGCATGCATAAATGACGTAGCATTTAAGGGGGAAGGGGGTGTTTCAGACATTGTGACTGGCCATTAGACTGATGCAAAATTTTAAATTTTCGCTCCACAGTGCTCAAACGATTTCAAATTGGGCCCTGATTAGCCTCCCGAACTTTGAACTCATTTAGTGAGAAACATTTGAAGTTTATATGGGAATTACATGGGAATTTGACAAAAAAAAGGCCAAAACCGTTGTAACGTCACGTAGAATGTGTCAAATGGATACTCACCGAAAGAATATTAAAGCAATCGACCGATTATAGGCGGAAAATTGAACAAGTGGAAATTGAGCCAGTAGCGTGAAATTCAACCACTATATGCTTGTTTGACTCCATGCCATGTGGCGAAACGGTCGCACAAAATGCCAATAATGGGTTTCGGTTTGAATGAATGCTGTGAACAATGGACTCGGTTCATATTCGGATTATCATGCGCGGTAGAAGGCTCACTTTGAAGGGGGGGGGCTTGAAGACACATAAGTTCAAACAGAAATTCAATCTAGAAATGTGGTCGAGCGACTTTTTGAATTTACAATCTTCCCAACTGTCCTTGGCGAGGTCCTTGGTACTCATCTGTACACGCTGCTGGATGAAAATAATTCGTCAAAAACCGCACCTTGCCACATTTAGATATCGCCTTCCGAACCAGCTTCAGACGAGTTATTTAAACCACAAACCCACATCGTTATCTATCGTTTCTTCATCCAATGTCGCGATTATTTACTCTATCGATTGACTTCATTTTTTGTTTGTTTTCTCTATCCATCCATCCATCCAGCACAGCAAAAAGACCCCACGATCGGTGGAACCGTGCACCCGGCTCAATACATCTGCTTCGCAAAATTCGATAGATCCAGCTGAGAGCGAAAATCGATTTATCGAAGTACCACTGCCACAGAATGGCGATAACTCATCGTCAACATCCGACATCGTGGCGCTCAAACAGCTCAAACCGACCTCGCTCGAGGAAGACGCCACCAATGTCAAGCAGAAGGTCAAGGCCAAAAGCCGCCAGCAGCGCGAAAACAGTTTGAAAAACACGTTCGGATGGACCCGAATCGATGTCCTCACGATGCTGGTGGTGTGCATCTTCCTGGCCTCGTTCTGCTTCTCGGCCGTGGTGGAAGCCCTGCAAACTCTCTCGCACATCCACCACCAGGACGCGATGCACTTTCCCATTCCAGTGCTCATACTCGGTTCCATGGGCATCATACTGAATGGGTTCTGCTATCTGCTGATCGGAGGCTACACGTACCACCAGGGCAGCTTCCTGTACATCACATCCAGTGGAACGGTGATACTCGATCGGGTCGTCACCGGGGATGGGATTCGGAAGGGCGAGCGACGCCTATCGGGCTCGCGGAGACACATGGCAACTACAGCATTTGGATCGCACAAGCGACAGAGCGTGCGGGAGCTTATGAGAGATATTTGCAGTAAGTATACAGATCGGGTGCGGAGGAACAAATTGCAATTTCCGTATCTTCCTTCCACAGGTACAATCTTCGTCATTGTATGCTCGATGATAGTGCACTATACGAACGAAGATGAAGATACGTCCAAATTTGTCGATCCGCTGTGTTCGATAATGTCTTGCGTGGTGCTAATGACGCTGAGCTATCCCTACAGTGAGTATGATTTAGCAAATATATAGCGATTCGATATTGAGTGGTGAGCAATATGTTGCTGTGAACCAGACACGTTGAACGTCAAAGTGATACATGTTTGTGATACTTTCAGTGCAGGATGTTTCCTTTGGCGTACCAGTTCGAGAAAATATATTATATCGATATTTACTCGATAGCCTAATACCATAGAGGTAACTCTAAGACCACTGGGTCCCGAAGAAAATCATTATTATTTTTGGCTCACTCAGTACCAGAACAACGGTCCCACACACCCCTGATGTTATCTGTCAAACTTTCATAGCGAATCAAAACAAACATAGTGTAGTAATAGAATTTCAACTAGAATAGGGTACGTTAATCGTTTGCTTGGGACCAATAGGCTACTAAAGTGGTGAGCCAATTTAAAATCGTTAGTTTCGTATTGATTGTTGCTAATACGACGTCTGCAGGTTCTACAAATTGACCAAGAGTTCACGAATTTTTCTTTAACTTCAGGGATCTTCGTAAAACTTTAAGGGACTTTTAAGAAGTTCAGGGAATTTGTAGAAATTTTGGAAATATCATTGTGCTTCAGAAAAATTTATAGAAAATAAGAGAACCTTTTGAAAAATTAATTAAAACACAATTAGCCTTTTATTAAAACGAGATTCTGGATTATTTGAGTTTCGACGACTTTCGGACTTATGAATATTTTTAATATTCTAAACCAGAAGATTTGCAAAGTATCGTACTGCAGAAATTAAAAAATAATAGTTTTGTTCAAGTCCTAAAATAAAAACCAAGTCATTTGATATTTATCGGATCTCGGACTTGGAAACAGTTTCATTAGGATCTAGAAATAGAGTAGTTCCAAGCTAAAAGACGAATCGATCAGACTCGATCTTTATAGATTTGTATGTATCCAGCACCGCATTTGCCACCAAACAATTCCTCGGGGGGTGGAAAAATGGCTCCAATTGATCCATGAGCATCTACAAGGTGACCTTATCCTTACTTCTTAAAAATGTTCTTAACTTCTACGAAGTTCCTCCAACTTCTTCCAAGTTCTAAAATTATTGTTTTCCAACTGCTCTCAATCCGACCAAGATCTCGGAACATCCATGACCTTCTCCAAAATTCAGGAAAGACCTTTTCTAAGAAGTTTAGTTTAGTTTATTGTTCTTTATTAACGAGACTTTCAGACACCTACAAAAGCTCTATACATTATTTTCCGGAATGCTGTTGATGGAAAAAGTTAGAGGCAAATGAATGCAAATGATTTTCCATGCCTGAGTACCATAGAGGTAACTCTAATACCATAGAGGTAACTCTAAGACCACTGGGTCCCGAAGAAAATCATTATTATTTTTGGCTCACTCAGTACCAGAAAAACGGTCCCAAGCAGTCCCAAGCTATTTCACTCACCCCTGCATGTTCTGCATGAATCCACACACCCCTGATGTTATCTGTCAAACTTTCATAGCGAATCAAAACAAACATAGTGTAGTAATAGAATTTCAACTAGAATAGGGTACGTTAATCGTTTGCTTGGGACCAATAGGCTACTAAAGTGGTGAGCCAATTTAAAATCGTTAGTTTCGTATTGATTGTTGCTAATACCCCGTTCACATTACAGCGTATATCACGTGATATACGCTGTCTTGCAATGAGCACACATACATCTAGTTTTCACTGGAAATCCTATGTATGAGTGCTCATTGAAAGACAGCCTATATAACGTGATATAGGCTGTAATGTGAACGGGGTATAAGACCAGAAGGTCCCGAAAAAATATGCTCAACTTTTTGGCTCAGTTCTGGTACTATCTTCGGTCCCAAGCTAATCGATGCACCCCTCTTAACATAGGAAAATCCACGAACCCCTCATTTTATCTGTCAAACTTCCATACGGAATCAAAACAAATATAGTGTAGTACTAGAATTTCGACTAGAATAGGGTACGTTAATCGATTTGCTTGGGACCAATACGCCATTCAAGTAGTGAATCAATTTAAAATCGTTATCGTATATACTAACCCTTGAGTTTTGTTGTTCGGATTGTAGAAGTCGGAATCTTAAAAATGCAAAGAACAAATTAGACTGCTCTTGTTGAGTGACGGGTTGCGACAGAAGTTTGTCCAGGCATCCACTTCCCTAAAATTATGTAAACTTTGGTATGGCTTAGCTGAAATTTACTATATTTCCAAATCTGTTTACCTGTTTGAAGCATTAATCCAGAAGAAAGAAATCCTAGAAGGGCCTTCTTTCGAGCTGGAACATCCAGAAACAGCGCAAAATGATCGACCCATAGCGTAAAAAAAATCATTAACCAAAACGATCCAGATAGTTTAAATGTTTAGCTAACAGAGAAATTGACATGCAAACAACTCTTAATTGAGTAGAATTCACTTCTTCTACACACTATTCTGATTCCACCCTTTGATTTGGTAGACGGTACCCATTCTTATGTGCAGTAAGGAGTTGGCAGAATCTGAGTAAACCAGTTTTATAACGATGAGTAAAATGTACCCAAATTCTGGGGAAATGGTTATAATCGCATGTTAAGAATGGTGCAAGTATAAAAGGGAAATTTTTGCAGTGTCCAAATACCCTACACGGTTAGAAAAAAGTACCCAAAATTAAGTTCTTAATAGGATTATACTCAACGTTGGGTTCCCACCCTTGTTGGGTGGTTTTGCTCCTCCGTTTTTGACAACATTAGAAAGAGAAAAGGAGACAAACTAGTCAAAAGTAGGTAAAAACGAACTGGACAGTGGGTACTTTTTTCTTACCGTGTACAATACTGTGGACCCCCGCTAATCTGAATGACACTTCGTGCATATTAACGGGGTTTATTTTTATTTTGAACTTCTTGTAACCCTATGACCATTAGAAATTTGAGTTTCTGGTAGCTTTATTTGCGGTTTTGTTTTGATTCTGCTGTCCATTTGGCATTGTTTCATTCCGCTTTATTATTTATTACGCAATTACAGCGGAAGCGGAACGGCAGCGCGAAAAGCGGAAAAGCCCAATCTGAGTAAGCCTACTTGTCGGATTGAAAACTATTCAGAACAAAATTGACTCCGGCTAGGCATCTTGATGTCATTTTTGACAACTGCCAAACTGCTCATAAAGACGATAATGAATAAAAACTGAAAATGTTCACGCATTTCCAAATGGTTTCCTACCATTCCCATATATTCGAAAGTGACTGGCCCTCTGGATGTGGATGATGTCAAAAACAACAAAACATGATTAATTGAGTACATGGGACTTTACTTACTTTTGGCTTCCCACATAGTACCTACACACTAAGATTATTTTACAGATTTCTGTAAAATTTTACCGAAATCTCAACAGCTGAACGTTCGGTAAACAATTTTACAGTTTTCCTGTAATTATTTACAGATATCTGTGAAAAATTCACAGATATTTGTGAAAAATTACAGGAAATCTGCGAAACTGTTTACCGAACGTTCAGCTGTTGAGATTTCGGTAAAATTTTACAGATTTCTGTAAAAAATTCTAAGTGTGTAGTTGGGTGAAATAAACTTTTTTTCCTTGATTTGTTTTCCGTACTGAATACCAATACTACCGACGCCCGAGAAGCAGTGATCAGATATTTTGTACCTCAGAAAATCCCGGCAACGCTTGAGATATAAACTTAATTTTGACTAATTCTTTCTTACCGTGTGTTAAATTTTACTCAACAGTTAGTTGTTTTTGATAGCCTTGTTACGCTCAATTAACAGTGTACTAGTCACCTTTCGCGTCACTAGAGCCGCTAGTGTCGGGAAAAATCGTGTCTTGGGGATAATAGAAGAGTGAACCATATTGTTAATTTATAATATTTGATATCAGACTAATGTCGTGACAATTGAAATCAAAATGAGTTTTCATTATGATAGGAACTGCAAACTTTAATATAGATTTGCTTTCATTTTGTTAGCCGACTTTGGTCGGGTAGTGGGGGGGGTCACGTTCAACTTTTACCACTGCACTAGTTAACACTCCGAATACTATGCCTCCGAAAAACGTGTAACTTTTTGAAAAAAAAAACTGCGGGCTCTAGGATCAGTTTCATTGATTGACCTCTTTACGGATGTTTTGGACTTACCAGACGAAGGCCCCATGGCTATTTGGGTCCATGTTTATGTCATGACCCCAAATTCTTTCTTATATCGCAGTTCCACATGCTTTCAAAAAACCGTAGAACTCTAGGATCAGTTAGTTGACCACTTCTACGGATGTTCCGAATCTTTCGGAGGACGGTCCCATGGACATCCAGGTACATGTTTATGTCACGACCGCAAATTAATTTCTAAATGACAGTTCCAAATGTTTTCGAAAAAACGTGGAGCTCTAGGATCAGTTCCATACATTGACCACTTTTACGGATTTTCGGATCTTCCGGAGGACGGTCCCATGGACATACAGGTTCATGTTTATGTCACAACCCCTAATTCTTTCTATCATCACAGTTCCTAATGTTTATAAAAAACGCGGAGTTCTAGGATCAGGATCGTGGATTTACTACTTTTACGGATGTTCCAGATCTTCCGCTGAACGGTCCGATGGCCATCTGGGTCCATGACCCAAATTCATTCTTATATCACAGATCCTAGTGTTGAAAAAAACGCGGAGCTCTAGAATCAGTTTAATTGATTGTCCACTTTTACGGATGTTCCGGATCTTCCGGAGGACGGTCCCATGGCCAAACAGGTATATTTTTATGTCACGACCCCAAATATTTTTTATACCACAGTTCCTAATGTTTTCAAAAAAAAACCGCAGAGCTCTAGGATCAGGTTCATGGATTGACAACTTTTACGGATGTTCCGGATTTTTCGAGGACCGTTCCGTTGTCTCCAGGATCCATATATAGGAACCATGTCTGTATTCTGGCTAATTGTGAACATTTGTGCCCGTTAATCTAAATTACAGATCTCGCGCCACTTGCAAAACCCTACAAACACACCTTTCAAAAAACGTGTAACAACTATTTTCGCTTTAAAAAGTAGACAACTCTATTTCAATCTTTTTATAATCAAAATCATCTACAAACCCTAGGAATTCTAAAGGTACCACAATTTTTTTAAATTTATTGAGAAATGGCTAAGTTGTGCCATTTACCGTTACACGTTTTTCGGAGGCTTTGTAGTCAGCGTAAAGTTTTTTACTCACCGTATTCGGAGTGTTAACTAAAATCTAAGAGGAAGAGGTGACAATTGGCTATTCCTCTTTTAATTCTATCTCTATCTCTATCTTTATCTATCTCTATCTCTATCTTACGCACATGAAATCGGCCAATCTGGAGCTAGTTCACGTTTGACAGAAAAGTGGCTTATTTTCGCCCCCGTATTGTCACCTCTTCTCTTAGACTAAAATGCGTCTTAGCACACGGACGCCTGATATTAAAAGAGGCCGGTTTTGGGCAATTGCCGTTCTTTTTACAATTTTCCCTCATCCCGTCATCCTAGTTTAGCCATATTGTATCTTGGTCTCTGCTAATGCTTCTATGGTGGACATAACGTAACGGCACAAAATTTTCACAGCGGTACAGAACCCTATCACTTCTGTGGAATACTGCTCTTCTTGCACAAGAAACTTGAAGGTTCTGAATATATAACATAAATGACAAAAACCTATGATTTAATTTTCAGTGTATTTCCTGTATATTGTAACCGTTTGGTCACAAGCAAACGGTTACAATATACAGGAAATACACTGAAAATTAAAATTCATACCACCTTCTCATTTTTATGACCATATACTTTACTGACAGGAATTACCACTCACCCTGTAATGGGATGGAACTCCAGAAGGGAGTTTGCCTAGTTACTTTTCTAAGAATTTTCCTAAACATCTGGACGAAACAAAAAAAGTTTCCAAAACTTCTAGTAAGTTCCCAAATCAAACCCTGAAGTTCTAAGAAGTATACTGAACTTCTACAATATTCCTTGAACTTCTACAAAAGTTCCTTGAACTTTTAAATAAAAGCCCTGCATAAAAACTATGCAGTTTTCCTAAGTTTCTTAAATTGCTGCGTCATTCGCTTGCCTTCTACAAAGTTCTCAGAATTCCTATTAAGTTCGCTGCACTTCTACAATGCTCCCTGATCGTTTTAGAACTTCGTTGAATTTCTGCGAAATACCCTGAAGTTCTGCAAAGTTTTCTGAATTTCTACGGAATTTCCTGATCTATGTCCATTGAACTTTAATGACTCGCTTTGAAGCTTAAATAATTTTTATGAAGTTTCTTGAAATTAAACAAAGATCCCTTAAGTTCAACGAAGTTTCCCTAACTTGTATAAGGTTGCCAATTCTAAGAAGTTGTCCCGATGTTTTACCAAGCACCCTGAATTTCTTCAAAATTCTTTGAAGCTCTACGAAGTTTCCTGAATTTCAATATTTTTTTTCTGAATTTCTACGATGTCCCCTGTACATATACAAAGTCCCTGAAGTTTTAAAAAGTCTAATCAGTGGCGTTGCGTCCACGTGTGCAACCTGTGCACGACACAGGTGTGAATAATTAAAAAAAATGCGTTTAGATTTTTTTATAGATTTTACGGTCATATTATAGCTGATCTACTTTACTCCAGATTACAAGTGACCATGAATACACTATTTTATAGTGTGGCTCAATTAAATCTTCGACCTTAGTTTGCTTCAAAAAGGTTCGGATGGTCTGCTTAATCCCTTAATGCATTGATTTCTAAGCATATCGATAACACTACCATGACAAAACTCGTTAAATAGTGCAACTAAAAGCGAGCTTTTTTGGGTGGCGGGTGGAAAGTTTGTGAATGTTCAATGCCTGATGTAAGCCAAGCAGACCTTCTATCACCTTTTGAAACATACCACAAATTTTCCACAATACATGGCAGTTTGCACCACTAGTTGTAATTGAAACTTTCCGCAGTCACGCGTCAAACGGGAGCAACACGGAAACAGCAGTCTGGTACGCTTTGGACGTTATCATACTTGCAGACCAGTTTGAATGTGTGAGTTAAATTAGAAGAACATTTGCGAGGTATGGGTGCCCAAAGTGTGCATTTCTCGCTGTGCACTTGGATATCTGATTGCAGACAAAGAGAGTAATGGAGAAAGAGGGCGCAAAAGCTCGCTCTCACTCTCTTGTCAGTTGTGAATCTCTCAATTACCGATAGTTGCGCCGGTGCGCCTTTCAAAACATATGAGCTTCCCCTGGTTCATTCTGATGGTGTTGTTCTGATGAATAAAGAGTTTATTAATTCAAGTTTGCTACTCAGGGGACGTCATGAATTTTCTCTCAATTTTGACACTGTTTTGTATCAAAAAATGTTTTCGGAAGTATTTGACGGATATTCTTCATTACACTTCAGTCGAAAGATTATAGGCCCTTCAAATGTTACGTTAGGTAGTGATTATTATAAATATTGAGAATATGTCCCTCGAATTCATGAAGCATTGAAAAATATACAAATATACAAAATGTGGTGGTAAGCTATAACGAACAAAGTTTGGTGCACAGGTAAACAAATGAGGCACGTGACGCCTCTGAGTCTAATGCATTTAAAGAAAAATCCCTGAACTTCAACGAAGTTCCTCGAATTTCTACAACATTTCGCTACATTTCCCTAAAGTTCACTAATTTTCAACAAGGTTCTTCGAAGCTCCCTGAACATCTACAAAACTGGTTGAAGTGAGGTCTACAAAATTCTATGAAGTTCTATTAGCTTCTACAAAGTTTGCTGAACTTTTACAAAGATACTTCTTATAAAATAGCTGCACTTCCAGAAAGTTTTCAGAACTTTTACGCAGTTCAATTCCAGAACAACATGTGAAAAGGGCATACAAGCTTTTTGTAAACAAACCTTTGTAGGCCCTTTTCTCACCAACCGAGGGTCGCCCACGCAAACCAGCAATATCATCGGGAAGGGGAAAGTGTCCCCTACCCGGTGATGTTAAAGGTTTGCGTTGGTGTCATATGGGTGGCGAGAAAAGGGCATAAGAAGGTTTGTTTACAAAAAGCTTGTATGCCCTTTTCACATGTTGTTCTAGAATTAATAATTCTTGATCAATATTTCCGTAGATCTATGAAGTTTCTTGAAATTATACATCAGTGCACTGAGCTTAAACGAAGTTTTTTTTTTAACAATCGATGTTCTCTAAATATTTACAAATTGCTCTTGACTTCTAAGAAGAGCGGTGAAGACTCGATGATGATCTCGATGACGATTTTTTCTGGCATCCCTGGGCTGAATAACTCCCACTTCGTATCTGATAAAAAATCATAATGGTGAGATTTTGTTGCGATATCTCTTTCTATTTTGCGCTACCCTTATGAAATCGGACATCATAAAAGTGAAAGAGCTATGGGGAGGGATACAAAACCATTCCAAGGGTTCTTCACCTATCGAATTTACAGTATTCGATAGTATCAATAAGTATTTGCATTTGTTGTGTAAACAATTTTCTAACCACGCACTTTTCCATTCCAGTGAAAGAATCCGGCATGATTCTGCTACAAACCATCCCGGATACGATCGACATCGATATATTCGAGCAATCGCTCCTGAAAACGTTCCCGGACGTTTCCGGTGTGCATGACCTGCACATTTGGCGGCTCAGTGGCCAACAATACGTGGCAACGGCTCACATCATATTCGAAGACCCCAAAGTAGGATTTCGGACTTCCTCATAGCCTCCAATCACATTCTAATCACCAATCCACACCCTTCCAGGTATACTCAGTCATCAACGACATGCTGATCAACTTCTTCCATGATCAGGGCATCAGCAAGGTCACCATCCAACCCGAGTTCAAAACTAAACTGCCAGTGCTGCCGCTGTTGGCGCCCCCTACTGCCACCCCCGGCAGTTCGTGCCTGATGCAGTGCCGTCAGGAGGCTTGCCTTCAGAAGCACTGCTGCGAAGGAATCATCAAGGACGATGGCAAAAAGTCACCTGCCACCAAATCATCGAACTCTACATCCAAGGAACATTTGGAACAGATTCCCATGGAGATTCAGCACCGAAGCATCGAAGCTGGCACTAGCCATACGGAAGTTCCTAGTGACGAACCTGAGGCAAAGCCCACGGTCATCTGCCTAACGGTGGCAATCATAAATGAAGCTCAAGTCCCAGTATGCTCCACTTCGGCATCCACCAAGGATGGGGACTGCTAGTGAAGTACAAAGAACCAGTAAGACTGATTCCTGGCCCAAGGTCCCATGAAAAACAAAAACAAAAACAAAATCAGGAAACAGTCGAGAGAAAATCCGTTACGCTTATTGCAGATTCTAAGAGTGTTTTTTTTTTAAGTTTTAACAGTTTTCTTGATTAAAGGGTGGTACGGTCAAAATTTGGTCAAGGGAAAACGCGTGTAAATCGGTGAAATCGTTTATTTAAAAAATCAAATTAAATTTCTTTTTCAAGTTCAATTAGTATAAAATTCAGGAAAAATATTCAGTTAGGCTTCCGCTTTTCCAAATCCGAATTGCCGGGCCTTACGCTTGACCCCTGCCATCAGATTTTGTACAGCCACCTTGTCCACCTTCTTCGCCGCAGAAAGCCAGTTTACCTTGAACTGCTGCTCGCCCTTAGCAGTTTTTTTGGTCTTCTTTAGGTTCCGCTTGACAATAGCCCAGTATTTCTCAATTGGGCGGAGCTCTGGCGTGTTGGGAGGGTTCTTGTCCTTGGGAACCACCTGCACGTTGTTGGCGGCGTACCACTCCATGGCCTTTTTACCGTAATGGCAAGATGCCAAATCCGGCCAAAACAGTACGGAACAACCGTGTTTCTTCAGGAAAGGCAGCAGACGTTTATTCAAACACTCTTTCACGTAAATTTCTTGGTTGACAGTCCCGGAAGCTATGAAAATGCTGCTTTTCAAGCCACAGGTACAGATGGCTTGCCAAACCAGATATTTCTTTGCGAACTTTGACAGTTTCATGTGCTTGAAAACATCTGCTACCTTTCCCCTTCCTTTTGCCGTATAAAACTCCTGTCCCGGAAGCTGCTTGTAGTCGGCTTTGACGTAGGTTTCGTCGTCCATTACCACGCAGTCAAACTTCGTCAGCATCGTCGTGTACAGCCTCCGGGATCGCGCTTTGGCCGTCGTATTTTGTTTATCATCGCGATTTGGAGTCACTACCTTCTTGTAAGTCGATAGTCCGGCTCGTTTTTTGGCTCGATGCACGGTTGTAGACGATACACGCAGCTTATTTGCGGCATCTCGGAGAGAGAGGTTAGGGTTTCGCTTGAAACTACCGGCAACTCTCTTTGTCGTCTCAGCGGCTTCCGGTTTTCGATTTCCCCCCGATCCAGACTTCCTGGCTGTCGACAAACGTTCCCCAAACACTTTAATTACATTTGTAACGGTTGATTTGGCAGCTTTTAGCGATTTTGCCAACTTTGCGTGCGAGTAGCTCGGATTTTCGCGATGCGCGAGCAAAATTTTGATACGCTGCTCTTCTTGCTTGGACGGCATTTTGACAACTGAAGAGTGAATTCCAAAATCAAAATAAGAGCAACATTCTACACACACACACCTTCAAAATGAGGGGTGTTCAGGTTTTTTAAATGCAAAATTGAAAGAAATACGTCAAGTTGATATTGACCAAATTTTGACCGTATCACCCTTTAGGATGTACCGACCGGTAAACCACTACTACAATACAGAAAGGTTTAAACATTTGTGATAGTTTTTCATCTCTCCAATGTTGTTTGAAGCGCTTCCACAGTTATTAATTGACAGATTTATATGCCAAACAATGCATGATTGTGTATTTTGTGTGACGAGCACAATAATACTCTATGCCAAGGGAAGTCGCGAAAAATACCAACCCGGAAGATTGTCTATACTAGACCGAAAATCGAACCCGCAACCCGTGACAGTATTTCCTGTCATTATGTTTTGGAATCAACCCGTAAGAAAAGGACGAAGGGTATGAAAACGGTACTCAAATGTGTTAAAGTGTTTAATTCCTAACAAAGCTACAAAGATAAGATATGTTTTGTTCCATGTGATAGATTATATGCCTACAAAATGTTAAGCCATATTGACGAAGAAAAAAATACTAAGTGTTTAAAAACGAGATGACAAGTCCAGAATATTAATGGAGAAAAGAGTCCAAACTACAAAAGCAGGGATAACCGTCTTTGTTTAAGAAATTTTAGAACCCTTGTTATGCATTTCAAACATCAATATTGTAGTAGTAATATTTGATTATTTCAGCTAAGATAAAAATAAACGAATTTAACAAATATAAGCTATATGTTATATGAAAGAAAGTCATTCAACTATGATGCCTTGATCTAAAGGTAAATCGGTACGTCCCTCGCGCGCCGCTAGCACGCCTCTAGTGTTGGGAGTCGAAAATCTTTGACAGTGGTTTGTTTACATTTCTCTAGAACAACTGATGCAAGTTTGATCAAAGTAGTCGATCGCGTTCAGAAATAACGTCAAATGGAACTCGGAATAAGAAAAAATATTGTGCACAAACACCTGGAAAATCCGGAGTGGTCCGGTTCCATGTTAGCTAAAGTGCTGAATATGCCGAAAACAACAGTTTGTCGAGTGCTCAAAACCTACAAGGAAACCCTGAGTGTGGAAAGGAATCAGCGGACCTATCTTTCGATCCGAGATGTGGCCAGAAGGTACAACGCAAACTTTTACACGGTGCGGAACATCCTTGCCAGGGAAGGATACAAGTCGTACAAAGCCAGTAAAAATCCGAACCGGCACATGAAGCAGAGTTCCGTGGCCAAAAAGCGTGCCAGGCTTTTGTACGATCGTGTTTTGACGAAACACAAGGGCTGCAGTTTGATCGATGAAAAAACATAAGTCAAACTCGATTTTAAGCAGCTTCCCGGTCAAAAGTTTCACATCGCGACTGGACGTGGGGATGTACCGGGAAGATTCAAGTTCGTGTTTGCTGACAAGTTCGCGAATAAGGCCATTATTTGGCAAGCGATTTGCAGTTGTGGCCTGAAAACGGAACCATTCGTCACATCCTCGACGATGACATCCCAAGTTTACATCGAAGAATGCCTGAAAAAGCGTGTATTGCCGATTTGGCAAGCTGACCCTACTGCAAGGTGGTTCTGGAATGGTATGCTGCCAACAAGATCAATTTTGTCCCCAAACTAATGAATCCTCCGAATTGCCCGGAATTTCAACCAATCGAAAAATACTGGGCAATTTCAAAGCAGCGACTTCGACGAAGCGGCGGGGCAGTCAAGGTCCGAGTCAAGGACATCCAGAAAATGCGGGCAAAATGGAAGAAATGCGCTGATTCCGTGTCCGTTTCCACTGTGCGGGCGCTGATGGCCACCCCTTGGGTAATGGTAAAAAAAAAACCGGTAAATGGAGAATGCTACTCATTATCATAAAATATGCAATATTCAAGGGGTAGGTCACTCCGCACACCAATCTTGGATCATCTTTTTTGTCAGTGTGCCGCAGGTGTATCGATTGTGCCGGTCATAGAGCAAGCTGCGATTGTTTGTAAAATACCCATCCCGGCAACCCGGTATTTCTGACACCTTGAATGTTTTGGTTTGAAATCGCAAAGATAAATCCGATTGAGAATCACGCGGGAAGTGGTGGGTGTGCGAAATTTTGGTGTTCTGTGTTGAAAGGATAGTATTTAAAAGTCCTGTGTTTTTGGGTTCTATAATGCCCTCAAAGGCAGACCAGAAACCTAGCCTTTCGTGATGCGAAAACAACGGTCTATCAGCGGCCGTAAAGAGTTAGAACCGGTGGGGAACATTGTTGGAGACCGACTATAGAGGATGATGAATAGACTTCTGTAGTTTGTTTTGTATGAGTTGCAGCATTATTTGAATTAATGGTACTACCAACAATCAATACGAAACTAACGATTTTAAATTGGCTCACCACTTTAGTAGCCTATTGGTCTCAAGCAAACGATTAACGTACCCTATTCTAGTTGAAATTCTATTACTACACTATGTTTGTTTTGATTCGCTATGAAAGTTTGACAGATAACATCAGGGGTGTGTGGATTCATGCAGAACATGCAGCGGTGAGTGAAATAGCTTGGGACTGCTTGGGACCGTTGTTCTGGTACTGAGTGAGCCAAAAATAATAATGATTTTCTTCGGGACCCAGTGGTCTTAGAGTTACCTCTATGGTACTACATAGCAAAAAAAGTTGTTGAATATTACATCGAAACTGCGGCAACCAGGTCAATCCATCGGTTGTGTAATATCACATTGTACGATGTACATCGATGTGCATCCATTGATGTAATATTGTATCTGCTTTTTGCTATTACATCATTATTTCATACATCAGCTTGAATTACGTTGATCGATATTACATTTTTTTTTTGCTGTGTATGTACGACTAGCTGTATTTCTGAGTGTTCAAGAAAACACGTTTCTCCTAACTTCTTAACAATCTTGAACACCGTAAATTTACTGCACTTCACGCTTTTTGACACATCAGTACCAACATTCCAAAAGTGCGAAACTGACAGATGTAAACAAACTGAGTTTTTTTATAGATATAGACAGCAAGTGATCCAATACTATGAACAATTTCATAAAATTTCACAAAAAACATGTTTTGTCACCCTAAATTAACATCTACAAAAAGGCTTAACTAATTTTTGTAGTTTAGTATAGTGAAGTTAATTTCGCCCCTCGGTTTGTTCGCCATCAGCGAGTCGCTACTATCCTCATATTCTGATTCTACCATTACTCTAAACAATTTCTTCGTTGATTCTTTAATTTTTCCTTTATCTTTTACTTCTTTCGATGTCTTGTCTAATGCACGTCCTCCATGTGTATGCTTCCAACTTTCTTCTCCTTGTCTATCTTGCATTCCAGTGCTGTTTTTAGGATGCCGTTATCTTCACTTCTAGTAATGACTCCATAGTAGTTCAATCTAGCAATTCTGATTTTGTTATTTATTGTATAACCGTTGAGCCAATTCTGAGGTATATATGGATTGTTTTCGTTTTGCTGGGATTCCATTCCATCATATGGTGAGTTGTCGTTTTCCGTTATTTGTTCATCTTCTCTAGGATTAGTTACCTTTGTAGTGTTATTTTCAGCTTCCGCCTTCTCATCACTTAATCCTTTGAGCGTGAGAATCATTTCCTGCTCCATGGTTCTGAGTGTATTCCTATTTATTTTGATGCGTGTAGATACTTCCATAGAGTAAGTCACCACCGGAGTCACTAGACAGTGGTACAATCTTCTAACCACATCCCACGGAAGGCGATGTTCTTTAAGAAATGAACATAAATGGAAAAATTGCTTTCTGTGATTTTCTTATCCTGTCTGCCGTTGTTGCACCTCTAG